ATGTGGTGCTGGGGGATTGAACCGCGGTCCCTGTGCTTTGCTAAGCTTGTTCTAAGTAGGTGCTTTAGACCACTGAGCCATCTCACCAGCCCAATTTATTTATTTTTTTGATGGAACCGGGGATTGAACTCAGGCCCTTTCGCTAGCCAGGCAAGTGCCTGTTCCACTGAGCTATCTCCCCAGCCCTATATAAATTTGTGATGCATCTATTATCCAAACTAGGGATTTCTGTAAAATAGCAAACCCCAACCTTTTTGACACCAAGGACTAATTTCATGGAAGAGAATATTTCCAGATTGGGTGCTGGCAGTGGGAATTTTGGAATTAGGTTCTCGGAATATGCAACCAAGATCCCTTGCGTGTAAAGTTCACAGTCGGGTTCATGCTCCTAGAAGAATCTAATGCCTCTGCTGCGCTGGCAGGAGGCAGAGCTCAGGGGTTAATGTGAGTGATGCTGAGCAGCTGTAAAGACAGATGAGATGAGGCTTTGCATGCTCACCGCTTGCCTTTGTGTGCAGCCTGGTTGCTAACAGGCCTCAGATCTGTCCTAGTCTGTGTCCTTGGGTTGGTGTTCCTGGTCTAGGCAGAATCCAAGAGTGATCTTGCCTAGTCTGAGAAGCTAAGCTTAATCTATTCTTCACATCCCAGTATGCTGTTTGTGAAAAGAACGTATGTATATATTTATTCATAGACATGTTTGTACTCATTTATCATAGTTCTCCTTTAAGTGTTTTGGGTGCCATGAGTAGTATATGTTACTTACAGCAGCAAATAAAAGGAGCCAATCCAAATCCTCAGATGTAAGAGTGTGGTTAAATAAATTAGGTAATAGCTGTATGAAGTTGTACAGCCATTAAAAATAGTAGGCAAAATGTCGATAGTAAATGAACAGAGTAGTGTTCAAAGTAAATACAGATTTAAGATTGCAGCTATGCAAAGCACTTGCATAAACTAAAGGACTGAAAAATAACATAAAAGTGATAGGGCTTGAGGTGTAGCTTAAGAGTTAGAGTAATTGCTTGGGATACGAAAGGCCCTGGACTCAATGTCTAGGACTTGGTAGTAATACAAAAAAGTGAGCAGTTATGTCAGTGTGGTGGGATGGGGTAATGTTATCTTTTGCTCTGCTTTCCAAGTTTTTTATGATAACTACTTTGTTTTCTCTCTTTCTCTCTCTCTCTCTCTCTCTCTCTTTCTCTCTTTCTTTGTGGCAGAACCAGGAATTGAACTCAGTCCCTTGCGCTTGCCAGTCAAGCACTTATTCTACTGAGCCATTTTCCCGGCCCACTACTTTGTTTTCTGTACTCTAGAAGTTAGATGAAGGGGAAAACCAGGACTGAGAATATGCTGTTCTAGAGATTGGTTTTTGTGGTCAAGGTTGGACTTTGCAGGATAAAGCCAAAAAATTGGTAAATCCTACTCAAAGAAAAGTACGTTGTGTTGACTGTGTTTTGATCCTCCCAGCTCCAGGAATTGAAGAAGCTCAGATGGGAAAACGAGGCTACCTGACACCCAGCAGTGCCCGGGAACATCTCGGTGCCATTTGGAAGAATGAAGGTGCTGTACCAGGCTTTTAAAAGCATCCTTTTCTTCTCCAGGCTTTAATTTCCATGACTGATTACTCTTGTCTTTTTAGAAGGTGTGATTATTGTGATTCTCTCCCAGAGTCAGCCCATAGATTTGGGGGAGGTATTTGGATACAAAATTTAAGGTATTATGGATCCAGCACTAAGGCCTTGTTAGATATTGTAACTGACCTGGTTGTATGGCAGCCACATGTCCACTTGCTTAAATACAGTTTGACATATTTCTAGAGGACTCAGTGTAGTAGCTCATCTTTTAGATGTCCACAGATAAAGGCTTTTGGAATATTTCTTTGGGAATTCCTGTGAATCAAAAACTGAAGTCTTTTTCTTTATGAGGATTTATATCCATTTCAGTTCCCTGCACCCAGGGAAATCCACCCCCCCCTTCCTTTTTGAGGGTGTAATACAACCAATGCATTATATTCAAGCCCTCAGGCCCATCCTTTCTATTCTGATACACCAGCTCTGATCTCTGTAGTATGATAGCACTTCCAGATGAACAGGTTTTAAAAGGGATATCAAAAGAAAAGAACATGTTACTTAATGTGATTGTTTCTGTGACAGGCTCCTAGTGCATTTCATTCACTTTTCTCTGATTTTATGTGTGCGGTCAGACAGTCTCACTACATAGTCTGGGCTGACCTTGAACTTGCCATCCTCCTGCCTCAGAGTGCTCTGCCATGCCTGGTTTGTGTGCACAATTTTTTAGGTTACCAGAAACCTAAATAAATCTTTGATCCGCTATAGATCCCCTGTTGGCAGTATCCCATAGAGGATGTCTTATTTTAAGAATGTTACTTTGGGTTGATTTTTTTTTCAAACAAGTTTTTATGTAAATGCCAAAGTAATATTCTTATATGTGTGTTTTAGGCCTGATCATATAGGCGAGTAATTGAAATCAAAGGAAGTCTTGTTTTTCCCCTCCATTCCATCAGATCCCTGGTTTAACCTGTTGTTCCAGCACTGTAGGCAAATAAATTAATGTTACCTTATTCTATATGTTATTCTCTATTGTGCTTTTCTATTAAATCAGAAATATTTTTGTCACTGGCTCCCCATATCCTTCCATAGGGACCTAAATGCTTTCTTTGGTTCATTTCAAACACAGGATTCTTTCTAAATTACCTTTTCTTGGGACTGGACGACGTCGGCATGGAGTCCAGATTCAACCCCAGTGTGTTCTTTCTGGATTTCATAGTGGTGCCACCCTCCAGGTAATACCCTTTAATTTCTTCTTTTTTTTTTTTTTTCCTTTTGTTTTGTCTTTTTGAGATAGGGTCTTGCTGTGCAGTGGAGGCTAGCCTTGAGCTCACTTTGTAGACCATGTTCCTTTACTTAATTTCTGACAAGGGTTGGCTGTGGAATTAAAGGACTTTGAGGAGAGGGTGGGAAAATTAAGGTCATGGAGAAACCAGGAGCTCTTAGTCGCTCCAGCAGCTCCCCGTCAGCCGTGGCGGGAGTCCTTGCCGCGCCTATTACAAACACAAGAGGACGATTGGGTGGTTTTTGAGCTTGGGAAGGAGTGTTGCTTACAGGCAGCAGGGGGGGAGGCTGAAAGAACCCAACCTTTCCTGCATGCTAAACACTCCTTAACTCTGTGCCCCTGCAGGTATCGCCCTGTCAATCGCCTCGGGGACCAGATGTTTACCAATGGCCAGACGGTGAACTTGCAAGCTGTCATGAAGGACATAGTTCTGATCCGGAAGCTTCTGGCACTGATGGCCCAGGAACAGAAGCTGCCCTCTGAGGTGGCAGCACTTGCCACAGATGAGGTCAGGGCTGCCTGAGTGCTAATGTCACAAACCATATGCTTGGTTCTGACTGCCGGGATGACACAGACACTATGGGTGATACAGCATTGCTGACTAGATGTTTTTGGCATCCTTAGTGGGAGCTTAAAAGTTTAGAACAGATCCAATTCACATCAGAAGGACAGACGTGGGGCTGAGCATAGAAAGGTCTAGGCTGTGGTCCAGTTCTTCCCCTAACAGCTGTTCTGGGAGGGCCTTAGTTGAGTCACTTTAATTTCTTGGATTATTGTCTACTCTAAAATATGTAAGGTTATGGTGATTTTTCACACTAGGCTATTCTGTCACCAGCAGCTAGCAAGTCTAAAAGAGAAGGTCTGACTTCCTCTGGACTGTAAGAATGTGTCCTGTCAGTCACAATATTAGAACTCACATCAGCTGGCTTAGTTTTGGACTCTGTGGAGTCTCTAGTATTCAGCTAGGAAAACAGTGTTGTAAAGCAGGAGTTTCTTGGAATAAGACTGTCTCACCTGACTCCTAAGCCCTTCAATGTCTGTAGCCCTGTGTTGAATCTTTAGTAGTTATAAAGATGAATTGAGCATTCAGAAAACCTAAGTCAGAGACCCTTCCTGGCCCAGTGATATTCCTGGTGTAAATAGAAATGGCTGTCTCCATCCTTTGTTAGACAGGACTCCCAAACTCCCCGCAGCCGCTGGGATAGACGCACTGTTGGACTGACCTATCACAAGCTGGCACTACAATCTTTTGGACATTATGCTTTGGATTGTCCAATCCAAAGTTGGAGTTTTCTCTGGATTTGCTTAGTTCTCTGAGTGACTACAATTGGTTTACATTAAACAGATTCTCAGTAGAAGAGAGCTGTCCTGTGAGGATAGTAGCCTGATTTGGGAGGGAAGACTATAGGATAGATCTAATGAACAGCTCTGAGAATTCTGTTTTGATGTCTCTTGAACATTGGGGCAAACCTCTGTGGAACAAAAGGGGCTTGGTCTGTAGAGAACCAAACAACATCCTCTCTAGTCCCTGTCACACACCCCCACCCCCACACATTGCTAGGTTTCTTTTCCCATTGATACACGGTAGGACAGGGACTTCAATCTCCTAGGTCAGATGAAACCAATAGGTGGCGCTTCAAGACAGCCTAAGCCCTGTATTTCTGTCCCTGGACAGGTAGAGAGAAAAAGGGCAAGGACAGAAATATTAAAAGGGAATTGTTGGATGACAGGGAAGTTCCACCATGCCTGACCCATATTTCTTATATTTCTATGTTTAGATTTGTGCAGCTCTTGGTATGTATATCTCTTGCACTTTTCTGTATGAAATGCAGCTGTAATAAGTACTTCAGTGGTCTATGTTGATCTTAAATGTGTTTAAATTATTGGGTTTCTGCCTGATTTCGACAGTACTTTATGTTGTGAAAGTTCTAATAATTTTTGAATGGACACTGGAATTTTAAAGTTTGTCTGTTGAGTGCTATATATTTATATTCTTATAAAAATCTTGAGTTTAAAAAAAAAGGGGGGGGGGAATTGTGAGCTAGTAAGGCTTGGGGGTGAGCAGGTAACTTGGCGTAGACCCCTTGGGTCCCACATCGTAGTTGATGACATATAGCAGATATTTTTTCCTTTGAAGAAATTTTTCTACCTGTGTTTTTATAAGTATATTTGATCAAGTTTTTCTAAAATCATTTAAAAAAAGGCTGAAGTTCCATATTAGATTTGGTTTATCTAGCAAGATAACAGCTTCAGGAATATTAGGAACCTAAACAGTAGGGGACTTACACAATGTCTTAAGAAAGGCAGCAGCTTTGCGCAGTGGCAGTATCGTAGCCAGTGAGGTTTATCTGAGGCGCGATTATTGCGGATTAAGAAAGGCTGCTTAAAATTTTTGAGTTAATTTGACTACTGGAAAGAGACAGGCTGGTATATATGTAATGGCCCTGATGTGTCATGGACATATTAACATGGTTTATTTATTAGCATTTTGCCACCAATCTGTCAGATTCAGAGCGCTCTCTCTTTTTTTTTGGTCAGAGCTAGGTAAAAGACAAAGACAGAATTTTTGGATTGTTTTTCCTACTAAGCTGTTTTCTTGGTCTTATCCTTCCAGGAAGAAGACTCTTCAGTTTCTGTGGATCGGTCCTTTTTAAGTGTGCTTCCAGGCCAGTCTCTCACAGATAAACTTTACAACATTTGGATTCGCCTTCAGAGCCATGTTAATATTGTGTTTGATAGTGAGATGGACAAGTTAATGATGGAAAAGTTCCCTGGCATTAGACAGGTGAGTATAGATTGGATTTGCATTGCTAAAGAGGATGAATAATAAATAATATATATTTGTATGAAAACAATAAACATAGCTGAGTTTTTTAAAAAAGTGTTCTCTATGGACCTTTTTGCTCCATACAGATCCTGGAGAAGAAGGAAGGCCTGTTCCGAAAACACATGATGGGAAAGCGAGTAGACTATGCGGCCCGCTCCGTCATTTGCCCAGACATGTACATTGGCACCAATGAAATTGGAATTCCTATGGTGTGTGCTTGGGGAGGGGCTATTTGCTGCTGGTGGGCAGTGGATGAGTGCCAGAGAGGGTCGGTGCAGGGTGTGTGGCAAGTTGGGGTGGCTCAGGCTTGGTTAGCTTCTGCCCCTTCCTCATGCAGAGGGAGGTACTCGGCTGCAGCGTGGTATAGCTCTCCTTGCCAGGCCTTAACATCTACCCACAGGGGAGATTCCTGCCCGCATAGCTTCCTGCTCCTCTTGACCTAGTCTTTGAACTTTTCCTCATTCAGTTGAGTACCTGACAAAGGACAGGAACTGGGCAGGAACGTGTAACCTTGGTTACCTGGCAAATAAGGGATTTGAAAGCCCCCCTAGAGAGGAGTTGTGTGCATTGTGTTGGGCATTGCCCATCTCCCAGTGCCCCCTTGACGTCAGTGCCCCACCCTTTTTGCCCATTAGTGTTCCCTTAGCAAGCCAGCCTCCTTTTCTCTCCTCCAGTTCAGACTGGTGCTCATTAGCAGCAGCCCTTGAATCAGCTTCTCTCTTAATGGGCCTTGGGTCAATATTGTGAAGATGGTTTAATTCCCTCCGCGGAGTCTCATTTCCTCACACACCACCCTCCAGCTTCTCTTGGGATTACTGGTAATGAGTGGAGCTATGGTGTTCTGATTCACTCAAGTTCACTTGAGATTTCTAGGACCAGACAAGAGCATGGTGTGTCAGGAGACGGGGCGGGCCAGGGTCAGTTCCCTGCCCACTGGAGACCTTGCATCTAAAAGCTCAGACAAGTAGCCAGGAAAAGCACTGTGTGACCTTCCTGAGTCTGACACCCTGGAAGGACAGGCCTTCTCTAAACAGAGGCAGGGGCTGTCCCTGCTGACTTTGGCCTCTTGGTACCTAGAATGTCCCCAGCCTTGGGAGAGAACTTTAGTGCAACCTCACTTTCCATCATCAAAGAATTCTTTTTAGACTTCTCTTGAGTCTGGGTTCATTTGGTGATGGCTTATTCTCTGAGGAGGCCCTTTGAAGTCACTCCTCTGCCTGCCTTCAACCTGCCCCAGATCTCAAGGTCATAGAGACCTGGATGTTTTACTTACAGGATGGCTGGGAAGATAAGAGCCAGCAAAACTGCCCCTTAGCCCCTGGCACGTACCCTTCCCACTTAATGCTGTTAGGATGTCATATGAGCAGGGAGGTGAGGTAAGCCTGGGCAGTGAGCTAGAGACTGGCATTCAGTCAGATTACAAACCTATGTTCCCGTGGTAGAGACAAACTGAACAAACAGGTACGTGTATCAGTACTTTGTGAGACAGTAAATGAATTAGCAAAAATTAGACTGAGGGAATTGGGGGATGCAGGGGAAAAGTGGCAAGGGAGAGGCCTCTCGTGAAGGGCCTTTGCATAGAGGTCTGTGGAGAGTTGGGTGTGCTACATTTTCTTAAATATCAGAACTACAGAACTTTCATTTCCAGGCAGCACTTTGATGGCAGTAGCTGCTGGAATTATTAAGGCTTGGAAAGGCTTCTGATGTCACATCAGGGCCCAGGGTGGATGCCATGATCAGTTAGCAATGTCTTGCTAGGATGGGGAGCAGAGTGGTGGTGTTCCAGGACAGATATTGCTACCTATCTCAGGCATGTGTCCCATGCCCTGTTCCTTCTTTGGGAACTTTGAATTTATTGGCTCACAAGGAAAGGTCAGAGTTTTAGAATGAGTTTAAAAGGACTAATGCATTAACTGCCACACTGTGGGGTCCTCAGACTGACTGCTAGAAAAGGAGGCCCAGTCTATTTGTTCAGGGAACAAGTCTGGCAAAATGGCTCTGTGGAGAAGACAGGCTGGGTGCTGCACTACTCACCAAAGGACTTTGTTTAAGCAGACAGTTCAGCAGGAAAAAAGTTATACATCCTGTTTATTCAGATTTTGGATCCCTATGACCTTTTTGTGCTCACCCTGAACATCTATACACGCTCCTCACTTGTAGGTATTTGCCACAAAACTGACCTACCCTCAGCCAGTGACCCCCTGGAACGTCCAGGAACTGAGGCAGGCAGTCATCAACGGTCCAAACGTGCACCCTGGAGCCTCCATGGTAATCAATGAGGATGGCAGCCGCACAGCCCTGAGCACCGTGGACATAGCCCAGCGGGAAGCAGTGGCCAAACAGCTCCTGACACCAGCCACAGGGGCACCTAAGCCCCAAGGGACAAAAATTGTAAGTAGTGGACAGGTTGGATCAGGGGCCAGACAGCTACTGCCTGGCTTCTCAGTGCTGACTCAAAGGATGATTCTCAGATCCAAAGTGGCAGCATCCCTAGAGTTTGAGATTTACCATGCTGTACTCCTTGTACTGAGTTAGTGTCCATGGCGCCAATGATAGCTAATAACTGGAAGTTTTAACTAGTGCTTTACTTGAGGTGATGGAGAATTGCTGCTTTTAGGGTATGTTATGAAGCTCTTTGTGAGTTCCGCTAAAAAGTGCATGGTTGAGTCACTGTGTTGCTAAGGGCATGGGGTCAACACATGACAGCATTTGTGGCTGTGTTCCATGTATGTAGCCTGAGGAGAAATAGCAGAAGACCCTTAACTAGAAGCAGACATTGTCAGAATGAAATGGATTTGAGTTTAATTTAGACATGACTACCTGGAGGCAAGAGATGATTGATATATTTTTCTACATATGTGCATCTATGAGACCTTTCCTTACTCTGGCCTGTCATGTCTACCAGCTAAGTAGTTGTTCTTAAGTAATAGCTTTAAGTTGTACAAAGTTTCCAGCAGCCTTGAGGGAGTCTTAGAGGAACGGCTCTTGGTCTTATTGCAGAACCCACTGGTCCCTGCTGTTCTTCCCCATCTGCAGCAGTGCAGTGGGCCTAGCCCCCTGATTTCTTCATTCTCACAGCTATCTTCACACGGTAGAGCAGTAACTCCATACAAGTTCAGGTCTGCTTTGGTGACAGGGTGCATGAGACAGCAGATGAAGTTGCCTCAGTTGTTGTTTTCTTGTGCATTTATTCAGATTATTTCAGGCCTTGTGGGAGATATGGGCAATAGATATAGGCACCATAGAGTTAATAAAAAGCTACTAGAAGGGTTAAATTCTTTGAATGTAATGTATCATGGGGACAGAGAAGGGGGAAGGGAGGACTGGAATGTAGAAGCAAGAGAAGGGAAGGAAGTATAAGGTTGAGTTTGTTCATTTTGTATCTGCATATTTTGCTCATTTGCGGTTGTGGGGTCCTTCAAAGTCAGTGAAGGTCACCTGTGAACCTCGAGGTGGCCAGGTTCTACAGCCTCTGTGGTAAGGAAACAACATTAGCTAAGAACGGTTAGAAAAGCAAAAGGATATAGGGATTTCTGAAATTATTGGGGTGTAAGGATGAAGCACAGGTTAAGGGTGCAAGGGTCAGGGATTGGCTCAAGAGAGGGAGGCTGGCCACCCTGCCTGCTCAGTGCTCCTGGATAGTGAATGAGACCTCCCTGAGTCGTGTCGAGTGAGGTAGCCCAGTTGTTTGTTTTTCAACGTGAGTTCAAATCCTTAGCAGATTCATGAGTCCTCAGATTGTCCCTGGCTTATTTGCCGGCCTCACCTCTCAACCCACTCTTCAAGCTCTTCATTCAGCCAGTTCCTGGACTCCTTCCTCCTTTGGTTTTGATTTTAGTTCTTCCCAAGCTTGGGACACCCCTCACTCCTCAGTTAACATTACTATTCCTTCAAGTCTCAACTAAGTCATTTTTCCTCTATGGCCAGGTAGTAAATACTTTAGGCCTTCTGGCTAGATAGGCTCTGTCTTGTAACTGCTCAGTTCTTCAGTGTTATGTGAAAGCATGTGTAGGAGAATGGGAATTGCTATGTACCAATAATAGTTTATTTGTAAATAAAAGTGGACAGTGTGTAGGCTGTTCTACCACATCCTGCCCCGTGCCCACCCTCCTCTGAGGTATGTCATCACTGTGTGTGCACCCACCTCTCAGCTTAGAGTCCCTAAATCCCAGAGGTTCCAGGGTAGGATGTGCTGTGCACCGCAGCCCAAAGTAGGAGGCACCCAGAAAGCGAGAGTGTGAATCCCAGTTGAGCTCCAGAACGGGTGAAGGGCTGTGTTGGACCTGATGATAGTGACCTAGAGGCAAAGGCGGGAAGGACTTTTTAAAAGAAAAGGTGATCTTCACTCACATCAGGATCTGGGGATGCAAGGAAGCTAATTTCATTTTCGAAAATCTCAGCAGCATTATGTAAGAAGCTTCAACATGTAAAAACGTAACAGCAGCGCTTCTGGTTTTTGTCATTTTTGAAGACTCTGGTTGATTCGTTGCATATGGCTCAGGCCAGGCCTGAAAGGCTGATGTGATAACTAGGAACAAGAAACTGAGATTCTGTTAGGGTGCAGTACAGATGAGGTGAGAAGGGGAAGATTGGCCAAAGGTCCTGTTCCCTTGTGAGATAGAAACCTCTGGCCTGTCCCCTGGGCCTTGTAAAGAAGAGAGGAAGTGGCCATGATGGCCCAGGCTCATTTCCCTGTCCAGCAGCTGCCAGAAGCAGGCCTTTGGCCCTGGGCCTGGCTCTGTAAACTCTGACCCGGGCACTGGGGCACACTAATTTTCACTGCAGTATTTATTTAGAGACAAGAGAAAGGAAGGATTTGGGGTTTGGGTTGGCAAAGGGAATGCCCTAAGCTCCAGGGCTTCTGTTTAGATTGGCCGGTGCCTGCCAGACTGGCCTGTGTACCTTCCCAGCTGCGGTGAATTTGCTTATGCTGGAGGATGTCATGAGTTTTCTAGGCTCAGATCCTAGGCCCAGCCTGGGATTTTGGGCCTGGGCCACAGGTCTGGGCAGCTTCTCCCTTGAGAGGCTAAAGAAAGAAGACCTATGGCTGTGTGACGCAGGCAGCAGCTGGTATCCCCAGTAGATGCTCATGGGAATCCTCAGAATTCAGGTCTCCTTGGAAACAGGGACTTAATACTTGGAGGGGTTAAATTCCTTAGAGAGCAGAAAGACTCCATGGTAGGTGTTCTTCAGACTGCTTTTTATTTAAGGAATAAATAAAAATGGGAAGGAACTTGTAGCCCAGCTGTAAGAAGACACTACACTTGGAGTAGTTTGTTGCTACTGTTAGTCTTGTGTCTGCTGTAGCTTAGAGGAGATTTGGGGTGGGGTGAGGTGTCCCCAAGTCTCAGTAATACTTCTGGGTTACTGGGAAAACCGGTGTTCAGTATGTTTGAGGTGAACATCACATACTTGTAACCTCAGCTACTGGAGAGGATGAGGCAAGAGAATTGCAAGTTTGCAGTCAGCCTGTCCAAATTAATGCTGTCTTTAAATTAAAAATTTAAAGGTCTATGGATATAGTTCAGTGGCAGAGTGCTTGCCTAGAATCAGCAAGACGGGCTCAATCTCTATTATTGCAAAAACAAAACAGCAAAAACGGTATCACTAGCTTCATTATATAGGAAGCGTAGTAGGTAATATAGGATAACAAAAGGCTAATCAAGCCTTATAGTAACAACAGCTTCATGGAAGAGGTATTCTAACAAAGTTAACAGTGGTTATAAAGAGCCCTTTCCGGTCTCAGCAAGGCCCAGGAAGTTTATATTTGTAATCACATGGAGAAATTATTGGGATTTTAATGAGTTTGTTCCAATCTACCACTTCCAATGCAACCCATGGCGAGAATAGACACTAAGGCATATTTGTAGTTATGGGGAACCAAAGAGTCCTAGATCCAGCCATGGTGATGGCTATCCAGAACAAAGACCTCAACCCAGGGCCACCCCAGATTTTATGAATTTATGAAGAAGGGAGTGGCTTAAGGAATAGTGACTGAGAAGACCAGGAAGTAGGGGAGTGTGTGAGCTGAGTGACCTAGGAAGCGAGAGGTCACCTCTGCAACATGCAGAGAGAAGGGTACGCACTGAGATAGTATCTGATGTTTTGGGGTTCTTGCTTCAGCTCTTATGGCATATTCTTTGAAGCCCCAGGGGCTCCACCTAGTCAGCTCTGTGCATGTCAGTACATGGAAATAGGGTCAGGCTCAGCCAAAATGGAGACAGTTGCTCCTCTTTCAAGGAGCATCGCCCAGGTGGTCCTCCACAGTGGCTGTCTTTGAAGGGTAAAGTGACTTGCGGTTTTTTGTTTTCTTTTTTTTCTCTTCTCCAAGTTTATATCTTTTGGTTCCCCCCTCCCAAATGAGCATATCTGTTACACAATTTTCTTCCTTTCTTTAAAAGTAATTGAAGATCTTTTAAAAACTTTTTTAGAAATATATGTTCATTATAAAAGAAATAATACTATGATGTATAAAGCTTAAGATGCATTACTATTTTCTCATGGGTCTGTTCTCCAGAGACTTTAGTAATAGCTTAAGAAGGACCTAAGCACTCTTTTTTCCATTTACAGAGTTAAGATGAATTTTAAATTGCTTTATCCTACCTCCTTACATGCTACCCAAATGAGGGGGGGGACAGAGGATAGGGTCTCACTTATGGTCCTGGCTGATTTTGGTGGGGGGGTATTGGGAATCGAACTCAGGACCTTGTGCTTGCCAGGCAGGCACTGTTGAACTTGCTACATCCCTAGCCCTAGTCTTGAATTTACTAGGTAGCCCAAATTGGCTAACCTAACATTTTTCATCCTCCTGCCTTAGCCTCTAGGGTGCTACAGTTACAGTACAGGCCTCAATGCCTGGCTTGGGTTTATTTTCTTAGCTAGAATGCCTTATTACCATCACTTCCAGACATGTATATATTTAACCTTGTTACTAACCTTGTCATCGCTGCAAACATGCTATAGTATAGATACACTGTGACTTACTGCCCCTTCTGTAATGTAGTCAAATGATTTCTACTTTTTGCTACTACAATTACTGCTGCATATAACATATATTCATATGACCTTGCTTTGGCACTTTTTTTTTTTTTTTAATGAAAGGCTGAAAAGGAAATGTGGTTCAGATGATCTAATGGCTATCTTCAAACTATTTTCCAAAGTAATATTGTAGTTTACAATTCTTACAAATTTTTTGAAATGCGATGAAAGGGCTGGCCAAATAGCTCAGCAGATCAAAATGCCTGCTGAGGTGCCGAGGCCTGGGGTTCAATCCCTAGGCCTGCTATGCTGGCCCCACCCGCGGGGCACACTGAGACAGCAGTTGAGACTGCGCATGGTGGTGCATGCCTATAATCCCAGCTCTTGGGAGGCTTGTAAACGGGTAGATCACTATGAGTCCAACTAGTAGTGAGACCCTGAACACACTGTAGACCCTTCCGTAAAATACAAAAAAAAAAAAAAAAAAAAAGAAATGCAATGAAGTGTTTTTAGGGAGCATTAAGGTAGGAATGAAGAACCCTGTTTTGAGGTGGGCTTGGTGGTGCACACCTGTAATCCCAGCACTTGAGAGGCTGAGGCAGGAGCAGTTGCAGGTTCGAGACCAGACTGGGCTACATGGTGAAGTCCAGGCCAGTTTGAACTGCATAGTGAGACCTTGTCTCAAAAACACAAATAAATAAACAAACTGTGACACTAACTCCTTGGCAAAGGTAAAAATTGAGCAGTTTTAAAAAGCGGGAGGGGACCCTGTTTTGTACTCCTGGCTGTGCTGTATGAACTTGGGCTAATTATTTCTGAAACATGGACTTGATATTTAGAGTTACATGCTCATGGCTTTGGGGAGATCTTTTTTATTTCTGCCAAGTTCTTTCAAACCTAAGGGCTTTGTGGTTGCACACAGGTATCCAGCCTTCAGGAGTTGTTTCTAATCATTCTTAAGGTTAATTCTCAGAGGAATCCAGGACCTTGGGAAGGCAGTGCATCTTTGATGAAGACAGGAACTACTGGACAGAGACCTGTGGCCTTGTCTGTTCCTTGTACCTCTGAGACCAGAGTAAGGACTGGGGCTGTGTGAGGCTAGAACTAGAGGGGCTTAGGAAGTATTTCTAAAAAGATTTTTAAGGTTTTGCTGCAAGCTGAAAATCCCCTGGCATTTAGTTGACGAGGACATGAGGTGGGCAGAACCCACCCAGCCAGCATGAGGTGAGCCCTCAGAAGGGCAGCAGTGATACTGGAATTCCCGCTGACCTGCTCTCCACTCTGTCCCCAGGTGTGCCGGCACGTGAAAAATGGGGACATTCTCCTGCTGAACCGACAGCCCACCCTCCACAGACCTTCCATCCAGGCCCACCTTGCCCGCATCTTGCCCGAAGAAAAAGTCCTGCGGCTGCACTATGCCAACTGCAAGGCATACAATGCTGACTTTGATGGAGATGAAATGAATGCCCATTTTCCCCAGAGTGAGCTGGGCCGGGCTGAAGCCTATGTTTTGGCCTGCACTGATCAGCAGTACCTTGTCCCCAAGGTAGGTGTGAACAGGCATGGTGGTACATGCCTGTAATCCTAGGGCTTGGGAGGCTGAGGCAAGAGGACTGCTGTGAGTTTGAGGCCAGCATAGGCTACAGAGTAAGCAGCTTGAACTATATAGTGAGACCTTATCTGGGGAAAAAAAAAAAAAATAGATGTGACCTTGAAGCCCTGCTGTGGTTGTCACAGAATGTCTTGGCACCTTGAATTCAAGCATTCGTCTGCTCCTGGGCTTAGTGGGCAGTGGACACATGGATCAGAGGGACCTAGTTTCTTTCTAGATAGTTTTGACCCCTCTAGTTGCCTAAAGGTCAGAGAAATGTTTCTGTCTTAAGTTGTAAGTCAGGATGGCCATTCCAGAAAGCCAAGCTTATATAACTAATTTGTACCTGGCAAACATAACCATCCAAAATGATCACATTTGACTTTGGTCCTTTCGGTTCTGACAAGCATGGTTTTAAGAGGTAAGCCCAAGAGGCCAGATTAAATTCCTTTTGTGGGCCAGAAAGAGTCTCCTCTTGGGATTCCTTTCTTCTGTCTCCAGCAGCCCCATGTGGTCACTGCTGTTCAAACCAACACACAGAAAGGGTATAACTTCCTCCCACTTCACCTGGTTCCAGGGCCCTAGTTGTCCTGTGTTCTTGGAGGGCTGAGTAGGAAAAGAGCCAGGCTGCTGGAGGAAGGGTGGACCATGTACCCAAATTACCACTTACCACCTGCCCATAGGTGCCAGGCTGGTGTTGGTGAACTATTTAGAGCTTTCAGTAACGCAAACAATTGGCCAAAACATGCATGGCTTAGGTTTGCCACCCCTGCCCTGTGCCTTTTCAAGTTAAACTATTTACATCACAGTGATTAACAGTTACACGTAATTCATTTGGATTCTCGTGGCATCTGAGAGAACAAGGAGTAGTGATACAAACTGACACTTTTACCAAGCATTGTTTAGTCCCTGGCCCACAGTCGTTAGAGGTAGGTGCTATTCATGTCCACATTTTCTGCTTTCAAGAGTCTTCATGGAGTTACTTCTGCTGCAGAGATGAATAGCTCTGTACCCAGGGAGCACAGGGGTCTTCTCAGGTATTCAACACAAATTAGTACCCTATTAGCCATCTGCCACGAGGGAGGCAGCCAGGAGCCCAGTGTCCTACCCAGGGCCTTTTCCACCAGATGCCCCACCGTGGCTCCAGGCAGGAGCCAGTTGAGTTGAACTGTGCATTCTCTGCCGACCTTAATTGGTCTGTTAACTATCTAAGGGATACAAAGCAGGAAGAATGGGTTACAGACCCACTTAGATCACATGAGGATTAGAAAAAGTAATTTTGCTAGTGTGAAAGTCAGCTTTTCAACTTTTCATGTCACATTTAATGACAGCAGTAGGAGTGGTGCCAATAGAAGCCACCACTTACTAGCAGGGCCTGGGCCTCAGGCACCGTAAATGTTCGTTTATGTAAGCCTTTCCAGTGACTATGAGTCAGGTGCCATCTTCAGATAAAAAATAGTAACTTTTCAGTCAGTAATGAGGCCGGGACTCATCCCAGCACCTTTGGACTCCTGAGTGTGGGTGCTCACCGTATGTGCTCTTAGGCCCACTCGACAAGTAGGACTCAGGCTGGGGCTGCATGCGGCTCCTGGTACCACTCGAGCTAGAGTCAGTCCCATTTCATCAGAGGGGACTACCAAGGAGCAGCAAGTGGACCTTTACTGGCAAAGTGACCTACAGTCTTTAGCTGTATAGGGGAAGGGGAGAAAGAAACCGCGGGGATGACATGAGAATTCTCTTCACTTTCAGCCAATTTTTTTTGTCTGAAGTAAAGTTATGCTTGATAAACTTTTAGTCATTAGTGTAAATGCCAAAAGGTGGGATCCTTATTTTTGCTAATAGCTATAAAAATGCAGCATATCTTTGGCTAAATCCTAGAAGAACAGGAGTTGGTTTGGCTAATGTGAAAAAGCCGATTTATTGTGATCATTCTCTTGTGGTACTGGAGGTTGAATCTACAGATAACAGCCACGCTACGTGTTTTCTTTGAGAATTTTTTCCCCTTCTGTTTGTTGTACTGATTGAGAACTAATGCTTTGTGAAAAGTTTTTGAACAAAGCTTGAGACATAGTTTCCTAACTTCTACCTAGCTAGAGAATTCAAGACACAAAATATTCTCTAAACTTTCTGACAGAAAACATTAATTTTAATGTCATTTTGCTATGATGTTAAGTGGAATAGGATAGCTGACAATTGTTCAGAATTATGATTCAGAGATGTTTTTTGTAATCCTAAACAGGATTTAGGAAATTGAGAATTATAAGTAGACCCCTAATAATTGCTTCAGTCAGCACTCTTCCCTAGATTTCATGGTTATTGCATTGAAAACAGTTTAGCCCGTTAACTAATTTTTAGGTCATGGTAGAATTTGGGGAAAGAGAAAAAAAGAATTTGGATACAGAAAGCACTGAATGTATCACATAACTGGTAATTACATTCTTAAAAGGAAGAAAATAAAAGGGGGAAAAAAAACCAATAGCAACTATTTGCCCCCAAAGACTGGGAGATGAGTCAAATGCATAATACTGGCTTAGATATTTCCCACAAGCAAAACAAGATCCATTTTTGGAACAAAATATAGAGTATAATGTTCTTTTTATTTTTGTTAATCACTCAAAGCCTTCGTAAGAAGGGCCCTTTGTGCCCATCTATAATAATTATCTTTGAGTTTACATAGAGCCCATCGTCATGTATTAGACCATTTGAGAGAAATCCTTTTTAATGTTTGAATTGGTACATGTGGTTAAATTCCTGGTGCTTCTCCATGACTGCGTTTGTCAGTTCCTTCAGCCTTACGAAACATGGCCATAGTACTGGCTAGTATTTAACGAATAATCAAAGGATAGCAGTCTTTAGATCTGTGCCCAGGTTTTGCTCAAATTCTTGTAAACATGGAAAAGTTTGCAGGACTACTTCTTCCAGAAGGTCAGTGATCGAGCTATTTTTGCTTCAGTGTGCTGTTGGTTGCCATGAGCACAGACCTGACAGAAAAGGTCCAAGAGTCTGGGGATCACAGAGGCTGTGAAAATGTCGTATGAAATGAATGTCCACCAAATCTGGAGTTTTTGTAAAACCCCTTGGTAAAAGTCTTTTTTAAGGGCCTGCCCTGAGCCACATGCAATATTGTGAAGAGATACTAACAGTGGACATTCTTTCCTTCCACAGTCATGAACATCAAGGCCTTCCGGTAACTCAGTCCAAAAAGCTGAGCCTCAACTCCTCCCTCCCTGAGCTGGCTGACTCCAAGTCACTCCTCAGGCCTTAGCTGTACTATTGCCCCTCAAAGAGACCTATCCTGACCACTATCCTGCCAATTTATTTTATGACCCAGCTGATGATTTTCTTCTATGGCATTTAAAGTGTTTTGTGATTGTGTGTTTATCTAATCATGTGTTTGCTATTCGGTTCATCCTCATCAGAAAGGTCTTCCCAGTGCTTAAGCATACAGTAGGCCCTCAATAAATATTTGTTGAGTGGATGACTGATTTACACAAAAACCAGGCCAGAAATGTGTGAAAAACACTAAAGCATAAAACCAAAGTATAAAAACAAGAACACAGCTAAGAGCAGCCAGACCAAATTTATGCATAAATGCCAAAAATCTGCTAGAATAACTAGAACCAGATGGGACTAAGCAGAGAAGGCTTGGGGACTGGATGAGTGTGAAACAGTTAGATACAGGGCAGTGGGCAAATGGCAAAAGTAGAAGCCAGTGCAGAACCTGGTCACATGATTTGGAAGGCAGTTTGTTTCCAAAAAAGGGCCCAGTGTAGACATGGGTGGGACAGTGTGAGATATATAGGAAAGCTTTTGCTGAAAGGTGACTTTCAAGCAGCTGATTAGGAATTAGAGTGTGACTTAAACTTTGTCTTTGTTCTTGTCTGTTTTGATTTGTAGGATGGTCAACCATTGGCGGGCTTGATACAAGACCACATGGTTTCAGGTGCAAACATGACTATTCGAGGTTGCTTTTTCAACCGGGAGCAGTATATGGAGCTGGTATACCGAGGACTCACAGACAAAGTGGGGCGTGTGAAGCTCATTCCTCCTGCCATCCTGAAGCCTTTTCCACTGTGGACAGGAAAGCAGGTAATTAGGGGGAAAAATAAGAGAGCTTGTGTCCATAAAAAAGGGAAATGGGCTACTAATCAAAGATACTCCAGGAGGCTATTGCTGGAAGATGACAGGCATGGATAACTTGGTGACATAGCAAGACCCTGTTTCAAGTTTTGGAAAGGCAGGAGGATGTGGGGATATATGTCAGTGTAAAGGCCCTGGGCTCAGTCTCCAATCCTCACACACACAATCTAACTTTCCTTTTGTTTGAAGTCTGTAGGTCTCTGTAGTTTCAAGAAAGGGTCTACTAACATAGTTGGCTGCCTGGTTTCTGTTCTTTGCTTGTAATTTAAACTTGGTGTGCTCATAATCCAAGTGCAATACTTGATAGGAATAGTAATGTTTGCTGGGTTATGCCAAGTGCTTAGCTGAATACATTGGATACTTTGTCTGATTTAATCCTCACAACAAACCTGCAGTCAATTATTGCCTGTTAACAAATAGTAATACTGAGACTTAGGAAAGTTAAAGTAGATGCCCAAAGGTAGTAGAGACAGAATTGGAGTTCAGACCCCATGACATTTCAGTTCTAAAATCATTACACTGTACTTTCTCAGAATAACCAAATAGTAGTTGCTTGGTAATGAAATACAATAAAATATAATATTCTGTTGTTGGCTGGCCAACAGCAAAACAGTACCTAGTTAGCTATGTGAACCTTGGTTTCTTATCCATAATCATGGGAGTTCAAGTTGATCATCCCTAAGGTTTTTTTAAAACAATTTTTTAAGTCTGTGGACCTGGAATTTGACTGCAGGAAGATACAGCTCAGTGGGGCAGTACCATAGTTCGATTCCTGATGTACACACACACATACACACAAAGATTTACTATGAAATAAACCTTATCTGGCCATTGGTTTTATATATTATTGAACTCCATTTGCTTATTTCTGTTTTGAATGGTTTTTACTTTTGAGTTCATGAGGGATGTGGGTCTGTAGTTCTGTTGTGATTATCTTTTGTTTTATTACCAAGGCATCAGGTATTATAGAATGAGTCAGAAAGTATTTCCCTATTTCAGTTTTCTTTAAAGAGTTTATAGGGCCGGGGAGAGAGCTGAGCAGTTCTAAGTGCCTGCCTGGCAAGCACAAGATCCTGAGTTCAATCCCAGTACCAAGAAAGAAAGAATTTGTATTAGTATTAGTGTTATTTCTCCCCTAAAGGTCTGGTAGAAGTTAGCAGTAAAGGCATCTATACCTAGAGTTTCTTTATGCGAAAGCTTTTGGGAATTCTGCTTATTTTTTCATTTTGTTTTTACTTTACAAAGAGCTTTACTTGGTTTATAAAATTTTAGGGTTTTTACTAAATTTCTGTTTCATTAATAGATTGCTGTGGTTTGCATGGGCTTTCCCAAAGCTCATATGCTGGAAACTTGATCCACAGTGTTGTACTACTAGGAAGTGAGACCTCGGGCTGGGTATACAGCCTAGTGGTAGAATACTTGCCTAGTGTGTATCAGTTTTATCCCAGCACCTCAGAAAAAGAAAAGCATAGGGGAAATAAGTAGTATCTTTAAGAGGCACTTATAGAGGCTGGGGAGATAGCTCTGCAGTCTAAGTTTTACCTGGCAAGTGCAAGGACCTGGGTTGGATCCCAGATACCACATGCCATGCAGGCCCCTGCCACCCAAACCGGGTGTGGTAGTACATGCCTGTAATCCCAGCTCTAGAGAGGCTGAGACAGGAGAATCACTACCAGTCCGAGCTGTGTAGCAAGACTCTGTACAAATAAATAAACGAATAAAAGATTTTAAAAAATTAATAAGAGGCAATTATAAAAGATTGAGTTTATATACTGTCTTCGTTATTTTTCTTTTCTTGCTGAGACAGAATATTGGACAAGGGCCAGAGAGGTTGGCTCAAAGGGCCTGAGTTCAATCCCCAGTTCCACCAAAAAAAAAAAAAAAAAAAAAAACTGAACACCCAAAATTAAGGAAGTGGGGCAGGGCAGATGGTTCAGTGGAATAAGCGCTTCCCTGGCAAGCGCAAGGGCCTTAGTTCAATCCCAGGTTCTGCCAAAGGGGAGGGGAAAAAAAGGAAGAAAAGGTTTATTTAGCTCCAAGTTAGTAGAGGTTTCAGTCCATAATTAGCTAGCTCCAAGGACAGTGGCAAGGCCGAGGGGCAACAGTTCAAAGCAACAGAAGACAGCAAAAGCAACAAGAGCAAAAGACAGGGAGAACAAACCTCTTTTCCTCCATTATGTTTTCCTCCCTTATGTTGTATGCTGGCTATCTACCCACGTCACGTTTCTGTCCTACTCTACAAGCTCAGCATGTGTCTGCAGTAAGGACCCTGGCCTGCCTCTGAGTTCAGCTTCTAAACTTCTCAAGTTGACACAGTGTGTCAGCCATTACAATATACTCTCCACCTGCTTTGCCCTTCCACATGGAATTATATAGCAGGAAGACAACATGTGCCTTGTCTCCACTCCTAAGTGTTGGACTTCAGCCCCTGAACTGGGAAGAAAAAAATTTTGTTCTTTATAAATTGCCCAGTCTACAGGACAGTATTTTATTATAGCACAACATGGACCAAAACATAGATAGAGGACTATTCATGTTTTGATTTTTTTTTTAATGGTAGCAAAGTTATATTAAAGGAAGGAAAAGAAACAGGCCCTATATAGTAAATTTAGACCAAGTAAAAAGAAGTATGGAGGAAGAGAAGTACATTTTTGCAGGCCATCCATGCAAGGAAGAATACAGTAGCTTGATTTTTTGTTCGTTTGTTTATTTGTTGTTGTTTTTTTTAACCTTGAAGGTGCTTTAACAGTCATGTTCTTCAAGGAATTTGCTCTTTCAACTAAGTGGTTACATTTTTATGGGGTTTTTTTTTGTGTGTGTGTGTGTCTGTGTGTGTGGGATTGAACCCTTGTATTATACCACTGAGTTATATCTTGAGGCCCAAATTGCTAAATTATAGGCACAGAGGTGTTTATATATAAATTTTCCTTTATTGTCCTATCTGTATAATCTGTAGTTACGTCAAAAAACAAAAGAAACAGGTCTCATTCTGTATTTAAGGCTGGTCTTGAACTCTCCGATGTAGCCTAGGCCAATCATGATGATCCTCCTGTCCCAGACTCCATCCCCCTGCTGGAATTACCATGCCCAGCCAATCTCCTTTTCTTTTCCTTTTCTTTTTCTTTTTTTTTATGTCTTTGTCTTTGTCTTTTCTTTTCTTTCTTTTTTTGATACTGAAGATCAAACTGTGGACTTTGCCCTTGCCAGGCAGGACAGCTGAGCTATATCCCCAGCACTATTGATCATTTTTATTTTTTTCCTCTGCTTTCCTGATCAGTTTGCCTAGAGGTTTAACCATTTTATTTCCTTCAGAGAGGTTATTTTAAAGTAGTATATGGTTTGAAAACTTTATTCTTTCCCCAAATCTGGTTGCCAACTGACTCAGAAGAGAACCAAATCAAATGGTTGGGTTCAGTGAATTTGATTCAGTTCTTACCCAGTTCAATTTGTGACCAGAATCATGAAGAAAATTGAGTTTGTGAAGTAAGGTACCATTTATTAGTGTTCCGGGGTTTTTGTTGTTGTTGTTCTCTACTTTTTAGTTTTGTTCTTGATTTTTATTGTTGCTTTCCATTTCATTGATTCAGTCATTATTATCACTTCCTTTTTGCATTTACTTTGGATTTTATCTTTTTTTTAATTATTTCAGGTTGAAACTGAAATATTAAGATTTTTTAATATATTTATTTTATTAAGCTCTTTAGCTTGTGCTTAAGAAGTATGCCATAAGTTATATTTAGTATGCTTGCATTTGCCCACTTAAGAATTCTAATTTCCCTTTAGACTTTTTTTTTTTTTTTTTAACCATGAATTAGAAGTACATTATTGGACTTCCAGTTTAAGTATTTTTAGACATTTTGGTTACTAATTTCCATTTTAATTCCACCTTAACTAGAGACCATTAGATGACTCGAATCTTTTTAAATGTATTGAGATTTGTCTTATGGCTTTGGAAATGATATTTGGCTATCAGGTCTACTGTTTATCCTTGTTCATCTGTATCCTTTATTGCTAATGCACAGTGTCTTGAAATCTGCTACAGATACATGTTGCTTTTGTTTTTGTTACTTCATTTGGGAGGATAAGACAGGCCACCATTGCTCTGTCTTGACCAGAAATAGTAGATTTAACAGAATAGATGAGAAATTTTGCAATTTATATTAAATTATATCTATACATAATTTAGGAATTGGTAAACTTTTTCCTGTAAAGAACCAGGTAGTAAATATTTTTTTGCTTTATTTATTTATTTTTTTTTTTAAATTTTTTTTTAAAGCCAGTCAAATTTAGCGGTGGGGGGGTTGTATACCAACTTTAGTGACACTAATGTTATTAAGTTCTGATAACCCACTGCCATCGGACCAGCCTTTTTTGCTTTATTGATCATAAGTCTCTTACAGTTATTCCACTCTACCATTGTAACAACAGAGCCCCTATAGACAACATGTAAATGAGTGAGTATGGCTGTGATCCAGTTTAACTTTTATTTATAAAAACAGGTGGTAGACCAGATTTGGTGTATATGCCCTAGTTTGCCGCTCCTGGTTTAGTTTGCTGTTTTTATTTGTGTACTTTTATTCCCATTATATGTCTTCATTTTATAAGCCACTTCAGGTTGTCTCAGAAGTTTAATAGATTTTTAAATCTTATTTAATGTAACAGTACTTTGTTTAAACACAAAGTAGGATGTTCAAAATAGAACCAAATAGTGGGCAAGAATATATATTTGTGGCCAAATATGTGGTTATTCCCTTTGATCTGGGAATCCCGCATAAAGAAATAGTCTGAAGAAAAGCTACTATATGATGGTTTATAGTTATTGAATATTATAAAAAGGTTCCTTAACATCCAGGCTAAGTAAATTTTGGTACATTTATTTGCTAAGATATTATAGCAATTAAAAGTCATGGTTTGGGGGGGCAGTGAGATGGCTCAGCAGTCTAAAGCAG